GGAGACAGAAATGTCTAAGGGGGGAGGATTTGGTGGGAATGGCTTGCATTTCACCTGTGAAAAAAGGTAAAGATGAAGCACTTCTTGAATCAAATGTAATTCTCAAAGATAAGTGGTAATTAAGGAAGTGTGTGTTCTGACTTGAACACAAAGAGCTCATAAAAGGAAATCTGGTTCCTTGAAGCTTTCTGTTGGTGGGGGAGGTTAAATGAGGTAGAGAGACTTCTCTGGGACGGGTCTCTCGGGGTCTTGGCTGCTTAAAAATTAACCAAATTCCTTTCCACACCACAGTGACTTGCATAAGCTGAACTCTCCAACCCCGGAAAATGCAGATGGATATTTTAGGGGCAAGACCTTCACCATCCACCCAGAGCATGACTTACTCAGATAAGGATGAAGGGGAAAGCATCTTGCCCATTGGACGTAGCATCTCTCTCATGGACCTTCAGGATCCTCACAAGACTTACAGTGACCACGCTTCTATTATGCACGTGCCTTTGCCCCTGGCCGGCAGCCAGCTCTCAGACACACAGGTGGTCAATGTGGAACAGCTGTGGGAGACTCAGAGCGCACCCCAGAGCGCTCCCCAGGTGAGAAGGCCTCTACTCCCAGCTTTGAACCAACAGGGTAGCTTCCAGGCTCTCTCCTTCCACAACCCTGTTTACCAGCTCAGCAACCCATCCCTACTGATGTTACAGGCCTCTGTGGATTCCAACCTGGAGAACCTGAGCACTGCCAGCTCCCACAGCGAAGACTTCAAACCCAGTGGACCCAGCAACTGCAGCATGGAAGACTTCACCAAGCGCAGCATGCAGAGCGAGGACTTCTCTCAGCACCACGCGGTCCCAGACAAGCAAGTCCCCATTGCGCTGCCCCGCCAGAACAGCAGCAGCCCAGCACAGATCCACAGAATGGACCAAGCCGAGTTGGACGCCAAGGCCAAAACTCCGCAGTCGCTGCCGCACAGCCCTTCCTTGCGGAGCGCGAGCAAAATGTCCAGAGTGTCAGGGGCCATGGTCACTGAACCCCAGCGGAATGGGAGCCGGTCTCGCCAGCAGTCCGCGTCCTCTAGAGAGAGCCCTGTCCCAAAGGTGAGGGCAATTCAGAGGCAGCAAACACCTAGTAAGGTAAGGAAAAGAGCCTTTTTCCAGGCACTTTCTGCTTTGGTGTTTAGCTGATTGCTGCATTGACCTTCAAAGCTTTTTGACCTTTGAGCCAAACTGAGTTGAATCAAGAGTGCTGGCACTTAAACAAGTGGCCGGTAGCTCATGTAAGGAATAGTTGTGCTTGTTACCTTTACAGACTTGGCAAGCCCAGCTTACCTGTTATTTTTGGATGCTTTTGTACTAAATTAAGGAAAAAAAGGTTCCATTTACCAAGGTAGCAGCAAGCCTGCTGAAAAAAACAAAACTTGAGTGTTTCCCTGAATGATGATAAAACCCAGAAGCAGCTTTGTTCCAAATCATAGTTAAGATTGCCACGTGACAATGCATTTGCCTTGTGGTGCTGATTTAAAAGCATAGCTACCTGAAAACAGCGACATAAACAAATATAAAATATCATAGAATAAACTGCTGCCAAAATAATAAGTACAGTGGTCCTAAGTGTGGAGAAATCTGTGTATCACCATGATGCAACAATCTATTGCTAGTCCCCAAATATATACTGCTTTTTCATTAATCATCCCGAACCATGAATAATGCAAACACCTTCTGGAAAGGAGTGCTTATATGTACCAACTCCTAGTGCATGTTATCAATTGTTCCTTAGCCACTGTAAATCAAGGTTTTCTTGTCAAAAAGCCAACATTCCTTTATCTTAAAAAAATCCTGTTGTGATTTGCTGTGTATGAAAATGTTGTCCTAAATTAGTTTAATGTTAAAGAGAAAAGGAGTATTTAAATGTTTGGTGCTGTAGTAAAAGTAGAACATGTCTGATCTGCAGGTCAGAGGGAATGTGGTTGTTTTTTGAAATACTACAGACTTAGGAGCTGGGCAGGGTGAGGCTCTTGAAGGCCACACCTGCACTCTTCCTTGGCGTGAAATGTTTTCTTCCGTGGTCTCTGTGAGGGCAAACATGGTCATGTTTGATTTACCTTACTGAGTGCTGAAGGAAGTTTCTTAAGCTCCTGCTTTCCACACGACCTTCTAGAAAGGATGCTGCTCTGCACACAGGCATGGGTGAGAGCTTTCACTCCAGAAAGCTGCAGCCCCCGAGGTTGTGGTCCTCCTTGCTGACGTAGCCCTGTTGGCAAAAGTGCTGGTGAAGACGTGGTTATGCAGGGGGAAGGCTTTTGGCTCGTAAGGTAAAGCTGGCGGTAGAACTTGGTTGCCAGCGTGAGCTCCTGCTCTGTCAAAAGCTTCACTGGTATCCCTGCTGGTGGAGCTTTCCTGGCAAACTGCTGAATGTTACAGTTGAAAGGAAGAAAATCTGGATAATGCCTGGGTACCCAGCAGCAATCAGGCCTTCAAAACTCCTTAAAGTACAAGGAGATCAGAAACACTGAATCACAAAGCAAAGCAAAGCTCAATATACCAAGTTAATAATACCAAAACAAGTAATTGCATAGTATTTGAAGTGCATATGTTTGTGTCCTCCTTTGGAGTGTGTATTTTATATTTGGGCATAGAGGGGTGATAGGTAAAGTATATTGAGTACAACTAAGCCTAGTGCAGAGGTGGTAGAATATTTCCAGGCCAGTGACAAGGATAAATTTGAAGGATGAACTCCCTTTGCAGTTCTCAGGTGTCCAGTGTGACCCTGTATTTATGATCTTCTGAGTTTCACTGTATGATTCTGTGCAGTGCCCTTGCCAAAATCCCCGGGGAGCTGGTGCCTTTCCTCAGGGCTTGTCACAGGAAGTGCCCGCACAAATACACAAAGCAGCCTTCACCCGGAAGGTGTCGGGATAAGGAGGAGAAAGTACCGGTGGTGTTCTCCTGTCTTTGTGCATACACCTCACGTGGGTGGCTTCTGCCCCCTGTAGCTGTTTGCAAACCCCTGGCTCCTCTCCTCTTAAATTGCTGATTACCCAACTGCCCCCCAGGGAAATCAGGCACCTTGGCTTGCTGGGAACCCAGGTGATGTCTCAGACTTCCCTCTTCTCTAGTTTCCTTTTACATTCAGCTTCATGGGTGCCTGGGACTGTGACTGGCTTCAGGGCAGTCTCCTTACCCCTCTTGTAGGTGATGTGCATCTACTTATTTTTCCACTCTGCTTTTCGAATGTGAATTGTTTTCACTGGATTCATTGGAGTACTTGCATGTACTTTCTTCAGAGAAATCAATTTGTTCTT